CACACACACACACACACACACACTCACTTTCTCTTTATGGATGATTTTTAGGGTTAAATTTCTAGCATTATACATGAATAAATACAGTAATCTGATATTATCATCATAATCTGGGTAATTTAGCATTAATGTTTGATAAATCCTGATATTTTTAGTCATGTGTGGTGACCCCCACCAGGTAAGACACAGGACAGTTGTGGGCCCCCCGAGTTTGGCAGATGTGTTCATGTGACCCACAATGCAACAGGGGTGACAATTCAGTTTAGTCAGCAGTAGTCGGGGTGTGAAAGGGGGCTTAGCGCCCTCCTGTCCTCCCTCAAAGCTCTCTCTGCGTTCAGATGGCCATAACCTGAAAATAGTTTAGGTTACAAAAACTTTAGAGAAGTAAGAAAACAAAATAAAAATAYATTTTTAAATCATGTCGTCGAATCATATCTGCTCTGTTTTCACAGATTCGAGTTCGATGACGAGATGGATCCTGAGATAGAAGAAGCTTACGAGAATTTTTGTTTAGAATCAGAGAGGAAACGACAACAATGACACGAGTGTGAATACCCGAGTGCCCCCCCTCCCCCTCCCCGGCACATTTTACTGGAATATTGCAAAAAYGAAGCACTGAATCTTTCATTTTACTGCAGACGGGTCTTTTAACTCAGAACTGTTCAGAGTTTTGAAACTTTTATCAGTCAGCATTAGTTAGGGAATTGGACAATCCATGGGAAACCAGTTCAAAATGTCCTCTTTTTTTTCCCCCTTTGGTTTTAAATTTCCTCCAGAGCTGCTTTGTTGTAAACAAAAGAGGCAAACAGAGTGCTGTGGATATTTTCTAGTTAATGCCTGAAAAACAGTTTTCTTTACTAAAAATGTGTTCATTATTTACTAACTACCAATAAACGCCACACAACACAAGCCAGAAATCATAATATTTTTGTAAGGAAAGCACTGTAAATGCGAGAAATGGTTGTTTTGCTACATATCTACACACATACAGCGAAAAAAACAGTGTAGCCTTCCTCACACCCGTTGTTACAGTGGCTCAGTGTGACGTTGGCAGCAGTAAGAAAATAAATTTAAAGCTTGACACATCTCAGGCTGGTTAACGTTTTCTTAAATCGGGTCAGGATCTGTGGGAAAAGTTGTACAGTTACAAATGTTTTCCTTTAACAAAATCCTTCGGGCGTAAAATTAGTTGTAAAACATCCAAATCTCTGCATTCAGACAGTTCCAATAGTTAATTTCCTGAACGTCTCGTCGAACATATTTACACTCGTGTTGCAGATGAGGGCGGCGTGGCTCAGCTGAAGACTGAATGACTGTTTACCAGCAATTAACAAATCTCTTGTAAAGGAAAATTGTTTTATAGTTTGTAAATATTGTTTATAGATTTGTTTGCTTGCAATAAATTCTTAAAAATGTGAGACTGTGTTTGCATGAGCCACAAGCAGTGACAATCTKAATGTTTTAGTTGGAGATAGGATATTTACGTCCTTTTTTCAAAACAACACACACTTTCAGTTATATTTTAGGCTACAAAAAATAAGAATAACCAGCACTCTGAAAATATTAAATGGTTCTAATAAGGGAAAAAATAGGACACAGTTCTGCTATATGCAAAATGTGTCCTATTTTTGCCCTTATTAAAACCATTTGATATTGTTGGAGAGCTGATTATTCCTATTTTTTGTATTTCTTCAGAACCAGGCACCCATTTACCACCCCCCCTTTTTTTTTTGTTTACATTGGAGTTGTGTGCACTACTTTCCTCCTGTTTAAGGTTGCTGACAAATACATTTACACTGAATTAGGGCTGTCAAATGATTAAAATTTTTAATCTATTCCAAGGT